ACTTCTGTTTCCACATTTTAGGTATCTGTCAGAGCAGTACCCCACTCTCTTGGTACCAAATTCTGTTCTGGTTACCTAGTGCCACTCTGACAAGAATATAACAAATGGGATGGCTTTAACAAACAGAAGTTCATTCTTAAAATATGGAGGCTTTAAGTCCAAGTTCAAAGTGCCAGGCTCTAGGGGCTGGGTGAAAGCCCCTCAACCTTGGGGTCCAGCTCTGCCTCCTGCTCCTGGCCCACTGGAGCTAGAGGCATTTCTTCACTCAGACAGCTGCTGGCTGCTGAGGCTGAGAAGCACAGTCCCAATGTTACCAAACCACACGACAGGCCATTAATTTAAGTCCACTGTAAGTCCCAAGGTCGGCAGAGCATAGCAGGCCGCTGAGCAACAACACGGCTACATTCAGGGTCCAAGTGTGCCACAGGCTAGAGACCATTCTCATAGCTTCTCCTTATATACAGGAAGCAGACCACATACCCAAAGGCAGCTACTCAGCTGCTCCCAGTAGATTCCACCATGGAGTTGATTACCAGTCTCATCATGGGGAGTACTACATCCAGCTGCCCAGGCACTCAACCAGGCCCAGCCAAGTTGACATACAAACATAACCACCACAATGTGCAATATGGTAAATGTAATTAGTGTCACTGAATTGCACATTCGAAATGATTAAAATGGCAATTGTTTTGTTGTATATATTTTACCACACACACCCACACACGGAAATCCTCATGATTCACTTCAGTACTTGCAGTTTGTATCTGACACCTCAGGCCTCCTCCACCCACCACCACTACACACAGCTCACCCCGGGTCCCACCGTGTCTCTGGTTTGGGACAAAGAAGGAAGATGGGAGGAGACAGGGGCTGTGAAAAGCTCATAAACTGTTTAACTCTAGGAGAACACAGTGCTCTGAATCAGGAAGAAGATAAACAATTACAGCTGCCAAGCAGATTACTTAGGAGAATGTGGGGAATTGAATAGTACAGGTGGACTGAGAGTAAAATTTTAAGTGTGGAAAGTGTTCTCTTACCTTGATAGTAGAGACTCTATTCTAATTCTCAGCCTTGTCTCAGACGTTTTAAGTTGTTCAATGACTCAGGATTTCAATTCCTTATAAAGTCTACTTTGCCGCTCTCCAAATCTTAAGAACTGTGGTGATGGAACTCATTTGTCCCAATGAGTTCTTCCCCAGAGCGGAGTTCTAGCCTGTCTTCTCTTCTGACTTCATATCTCTTTCCAGTAGCTTTGTACTTGGGAATTTCTGTGATGTCTTTCCTTCTAGAAAAACCTTCAGTCAGTAGTTTTTTTTTTTTTTTTAATTTTATTTTGATTTGGGTGAAGATTTACAGAGTAAATTCACTTTTCATACAGCAGTTCACATAATATACTTTGTCTCATGTCATTGACCAAAATTTACAATGCAACAGCTCCCCTCCCACTTCCTCCCCATAGTTACCTCCTCCCAGTGTCCATCCCTTCATACTCTTCTGCGCCCTGATCTCCCTGTGCATAAGCAGCCCTTCGTTCTCCCATGATTGTTCTCTCCAGGGCATGTATCTACTTGAGGTAAATGTTTAATTTACATGCCTGTACTTTGTTTGGCTGGAAACCACAGGTGTGGCTTCAATTCCAGACCTGCAGGGCAGCTAGGGGCCATAGTCTCAGTGGTTCCACCAGGCTCTATTGGACCAGCAAACCTGGTCCCCACCTTCTTCTTTTTTTTTGCCTCCAAATGATTTTGAGTTTTGTTCCACATTGTTCTCCCTCTCTATGCAGGATCTCCTACATCCCTTCCAAGTGGATGACAGTGGTAGCTGGGCACCATCTAGTTCTTCTGGTCTCATAGTTGTATAGGTTGCAATCGGATGGTGTACCAGTCGCTAGGACTGATTGTTTCCATTAATTTTGATTTTCTTCTTCTTGATGAGGAGAGACCCATCGTTGCATCTAGATGGCAGCTTGCTAGCTTTTAAGATCCCAGTCGCTACTCGCCAAAGTAGGAGGTGGAACAATGTTTTGTATAGTATGTTATGCCAGTTGAGCTTGATGTCTCCTGCGACTATGGTCCCAAGCCCGCAGGATCAACTACTCGGTCGCTCTGGGTAGCTGGCTGTGACCAAGCAATGACCATAACCTTGCCCCTTGTCAGCTCTACTATACACCTGGGAATTCTGATCATTCACATAAACTTATAGGACCATTGTCTGCCAACCCTATATATGATCTTGGATACACTCTCCATTTAGACATACCTAATTGTTTAGCCTGTCCTCCTATCTATCCGTCCATATACCCATGTTTGCTTTCACTGACAACTCAGTACTGTATATGCAAAAGAGTTCATATTTGTTGTCTGTACTGCCCATGTAACTCTCTATGTCTTTCTCATCCTCAATGCTGCCATATTGGTCACTCACATTTGGTACATTGCCCTTCTCTTCACCCAAATCAATATTTATCTCTATCTATCTAACAGTGTTCCCTCCCCTCCCCTCCCACCCCTGGTAACCAACAAAGAAAATGTCCTCCAATAGATAAACCTTTCCTTAACTTTTACAATAACGACTAATACAATATTTGTCCTTTTGTGACTGACTTATTTCACTCAGCATAATGTCCTCCAAGTTCATCCACGTTATGCGGTGTTTTGTAGATTCTACATTATTCTTTAGCATTGCATAGTATTCCATTGTGTGTATGTACCATAGTTTGGTCATCCATTCCTCAGCTGATGGACATCTAGGTTGTTTCCATGTTTTGGCTATTGTAAATAGTGCTGCGATGAACATCGGCGTGCATATATCTGTTCTTGTTATGGCTCTCACTTCTTTAGGGTATATACCTAGTAATGGGATGGCTGGGTCAAATGGTATTTCTAATTCCAACTTTTGAAGGAATCGCCATACTGCTTTCCACAATGGTTGTACCATTTTACAGTCCCAGTCAGTAATTTTTGGGGGGATAAGGGAAGCACACATCACTGGTTCCTGTTCAGAAGTGTCCAGGCAGCTCCTGGGCCAAACGAACAAGCATGCACAGAGAGGATGAGTAATTGCTGTTAGCTGTTGCGCCTCTTTCTGTTCACAGGTTTCTACTACTGAGTAGGTTTTAGTTCTGCAATTGTTTTACTCCCGAATGCCTAAGTCCTGCTTCAGGATGCACTGTTACTTTTAGTGGTTCGATACTAGACGAGCCCCCTTATGCTCCCGTTTCACCACAGAAGGTTAGCATTGTGAAGATGTCAGTCATAAATTGTGTTAGCTGTTTTGCTCCCACCAGGGAATAGTAATATTTTTGAATTAAAAATATAATTTAATGGGTTTGTATTACATGTAGGATGAATGTGGAAGGAATCTAAGGGTATGACTCTTGTCCTCAAAGTCTAATCATTTCTCAACGATTTACAGACCAATTGTGATCAATTTCTTGAAGACTCTTTCTAATAAATATATATTTGAGTAGAAAAGCCATAGTTACTTTATACACTTTATGTGAAAAAAGAAGAAAACATTGAATCTTAAGTTTTTGACACAGGGAACTGTAAAGAGAGTTTTGAGGGCTATGTGGGAAAAATTGCCTGAAGACCCGGAGAGGACGGACAAGTGGGTGTTTGAGCCATTCCTCTCTCTGGCTTTGCTGTACAAATGTCACATGAAATCTGGCCTTGCTTTTTCATCTTTGACCTTCACACTCAGTCTGTTTTTCTCTGGCATTTTCCTGAGCTGCTCCCTCGAATTCTTTGTGCCTTTTCTCACAGTTCTTCAAAGGGCATGTGGGTTCCCTGATTGCCTCCTGCAAGGACCGGGTGGATCTAGAACAGTTAAGAAAGAGAGAGTGACCTACTGTGATGTCACCACACATGGTGATCAAACAAATCCAATTGAGACGTGAAGGTTGATGGCAGGGGAGCGTTGTTGCTTTAATGCCTCCAGATGTCTCCTGCCCCGGCTTCAGTCATGGGTGTTGATGGGTAGAAGGAGTGACGTTCAGGAAGCCCCAAGCTGCTGAATTCCTTTTTTTTTTTTTTTTAATTTTTATTGTGATTTGGGTGAGTTTACAGTGAAAATTCATTTTCCATACAGCGGTTCACATACGCTGTCTCGTGATGTTGACTGCAATTTCCCACAATGAAACAGTTCTCCTCCCACCTTCTCCCCATTGTTACCTCTTCCCTGTGTCCTTCCGTCCCATACACTCCTGCCCCCCCAGCTGTCTCCCTGTGCATGCACAGCCCTTCTGTTCTGCCAAGATTGATCTCTCCAAGGAGTGCATCTACCTAATGTAAATGTTCCCAGTCTCCTGAGTACTTTTAAAGGTAGTCAGCTTGGCAGGAACATGTTAGGTGAGGTAATGGTTTATAGTGGACAGTGAGAATTTGGAACTATTTAAAGCACTGTAACCTTCACATGTTGCAGTGGTGTGGACTTTGTTTTCCGTTCCTTTCTTTCAGTGTAGAATTGTCTGCTGGTGTAGGCCTTCCATATAAAGAACAGGCACAGACATTGCGAGTATAATATTGGTACTAAGAGAAAACTATAGTCTTACTAGTTCAGGCCTTGAAATCGAGCAGGCCTACTTTGGCCCACTCATTAAATTCTGTTTCAAATTGGACACCACCAGCTGTATGGGGAAATTCTATAAAGCCTTATCTGATCTTAAAAAATACCTCCAAAAAAAAAAAAACAAAACACCTTGTGAAAGCACGTGTCAGCTGTACCACTGTGAGTAATAAAATGGTCATTAATTTAGACTCCGAGCGTCTGTTACAGCTGAATGCCTCTTTATCCCAAATGCTAAGGTTGCTCTGTATTTGATTTATGCTCACTTCCTTTGAAACATTGTTTTAGAACCAAGCCATTTTGTTCATTTTCTTGTTCTTTCGTGTTTTCAGTGTGCTCCTGCCTCCTGAATTCTTGAGCTGTAAAGTAACAGTTCCTCTACTTTAAGAGATGAGGCTGACTGACACTGTTCTACTGAACTTCTTCTGTTTTAGAATAATATATAAATGTTCCATGTGTGACACTGTGTTTACCCTGCAAACCTTGCTGTATCGTCACTTTGACCAGCACATCGAAAACCAGAAGGTGTCTGTTTTCAAGTGTCCAGACTGTTCTCTCCTGTATGCCCAGAAGCAACTGATGATGGACCACATCAAGGTGTGTGCACATCTCCTGCCCTTCTTTCACCTCATTGCAGGTACAATGACTCGTCATAAGTCAAGGCTGGGCTCCAGGTGACTCGAGCATGCTGTAGTGTCGAGGGGAGGGATGGGGGCAGGTCCTTGTCCATACGTGCCTCGCATGCTGTCATCCACTGGTGCTTACCCATCACAGGGGATGCTGTAACCCAGGAGTGTCAGCTGCAGAACATGAAAGAATACTGGAGACAAACAGACACATGCCCTAATTCTAAAAGAATCATAACACATTAGAGTTGTTTTTGGGACTCTGGTGACGTAGTGCCTAAGGCATTTGACTGCTAACCAGAAGGCTGGCAGTTCAAACCAACCAGCCACTCTCAGAAGAAAGGTTTGGCAATCTACTTCTGTGGAGATACTGCCTCAGAACCCAAGAAGGGGTCCCTATGGGTCGAATTAACTTGACGACACTGAGTTTGATTTTTTATTTCTTTGTTTTTAGAGTAGTTGTTGTCTGTATATGAACTCCATGTTAATGTAGGATTTAGAAACAGACAAGGGGTCCTAACTAGTCATAGTAATTATACAAATATTGGTATATTTAGGACAATGAAGGCTTTTTCCCCTTGAAAATTACTTAACCAATTAGGTTTCATTGAAATTGATGTCCCTGAATCCTTCTTGTTTTTGTTTTTTTCTCCCTATAAAAGCATGTCAGTTAACTATTAAATACCCAGGGTATAGTGTAGTTCCTAGCACCTATTCAGTTAAGGTTTTTTTAAGTGATTAATGTGCAGTTTGGACCTTCCACTCTTCATCCCCAAAAAGGGGCACCTAAATCTATTTACAGGCAACCTCTGCAGCTTACTGAGGCCAGGGCTTAGTCCTTGCCTCTTAACCTGACCACTGTAATGGGTCAAGCAATTTTATGCTTTGTGTGATTACAAGATATAATAGCTGTTGGTTCACAGAGACTGAAACGACCTGCTTTTTAAAATGAAATACAGCAGACCCAGTAGTACCATGAACTTAATCTCTTTTTCCTAGTTTTTCTCTCATTGAGTACATTCCACAAAAAAGATCAGTTTAAAGAGCAAATAAAGTCTCTCAATGATTCTGGTATCATGCTAGTTAAATGAATGGATTTTTAAGTTTTCTTTTTTGAACATACCTCAGTTCATATGTTGTTGTTGTTATGTGCCATTGAGCCGGACCCGACTCATAGCGACCCCTCCTTGGGTTTCTGAGTCAGTATGACTATGGAAGTAGATTGTCCCGTCTTCCTTCCAAGGAGTGGCTGGTAGGTATAAACTGCCGGCCTTCTGGTTAGCAGTCAAGTGCCTTAGGCACTATGCTACCAGCGCTCCCATGAGTTCACATATAACTTCCCTTTTCAAACGAACTACAGAGCCCAGAGATCTACTCGTTATCAATAAGGTGACATAGAGACAGCTGGGTGAATAAAATGCATGGGAGATATATTTCCACCATTCTCATTTAAGTACAATAAAATCCTCGTAAGATATTCTAAAGGTTATAGCTAAAATTACAAAGTTATCATAACACACACTTGATGAATGGTCATGAAAACCTAAAAACTACTAATAAAAATCAGGAATATTGGGATTAGACCATAGTACCTTAGCATACTGTATATGGGAGAAGGTTGCTTCTTAGGTATTGGCTTTCTGAAACACTCACCTTTACGTCTGGAAGTGGGGTCATCAACTTTGTGGTTAGGGTCTCCCTTGTGTTAGTAGTGAATTTGGAGGAACACAGTGTTTCAGGAAATAGAGACTGAAGAAGACTGGTCAAATCCTGTGGCTACAGGAGGGAAGAATTACTTTTATTCATCTGAACCATTACAAGACCACATGATTCGAAAACTGGGAGTATTGACTTGGGTTCTCATCCCACCTATGGTGTTCTCCTTTCACGGATGTCCTGTATGTTTACAAATATTACCCTGCATTTATATGTTGAGGATGGGTGAGAGTGTTTCTGTTCTTTATGTATGTAGCTCTTGTTCATTTATTTCTGTTCCTTAGTACCTGTGTTGCTACAGTTTTCCATTAAAACGGGAGTTAAGAGAAAGTAGCATAGGATCAGTGGCTCTCCAGGGACACGCTCCTTTGAAGATAGATCGTGTGTTCCCAGTGGACTCAAATTCAGATCATTTCATTGTCCTCCAGAAGTGTGGATTATTCCTTGGAGAATCCCCACACCCCATGGTGGCCTTCACATTCAAAGTGAACCCTCAGGTTACAAGCAATCATTCAGGTTGTTTATCCTTAGCTCTGGTAGTGTAGTGCCTAAGGCACTTGACTGCTAACCAGAAGGCTGGCAGTTCAAACCCACCAGCCACTCCTCGGAAGGAAGATGGGACAATCTACTTCCATAGTGATACAGCCTTGGAAACCCAAGGAGGGTCGCTATGAGTCAGGTCCGACTCGATGGCACATAATAACAACATCCTTACAGGAGTTAAGGAAAAAAAAAGTAAGCTGAATATTCGTTTGTGAAAAAGACATTTGTTCTTAATAAGTCTTCTTATTTTTATTTACAATGTGTGAAGGAATAAATTAGAAGTTCTCGTTTTAGCACACAGACCATTTCCTTTGCCGTGGCAGGATATTCTACTGATGTTCTATAATTTCGATAGTACTTAAAGCTTATCTTATTAAAAAAAAGACTCTCTCTTCAATTTTTAAAGTTAGTAAAAATGAATTTTCCTAGAAACTTATGATGTCTTAATTAGAAGATTTTGGGTTTTGTGTTTCTTGGGGTTTTAAATGGTTACAAATGTAAAAAGCTGGCTTCAGTTTTGAGAAAGCGCCTTCTGACAGAAGCCTTCTGCCCCACATGGTGAAAAAGATGCAGGGGCTCCCCGTTCTGGCCGTCAGGATGTCACGTCCTGACCCACATTTTCTCTTTGCAAAGAAAACTGGTTGGACATTGAGCTCAGGCCCTTTGAATGCTAATGAAAACATAGCGCCCCCATGATCCTTCTGGAGTAAGACAGTATTGAAGAATGTTGGTTAATTCTATACTGTTTAGAGAGGCCCCTACCATGAAATAATATAATGGAGAGGACACTAAAATAGCTTCTTAGTTAAAAACTCAAGAAGAAGCGTGGAGTGAAATCCACACTGCGCCAGACCTAGGTGTGCTGAAAAAACAAACCAAACTCACTGATGTCGGAATTGGTCCTGACTCTCAGCGAGCCCTCCTTGGGTTTCCCTGGCGGTATCTCTACGGAAGTAGATAGCCCAGTCTTCTTTCTGAGGAGTGGCTGGTGGGTGTGTTTATGCACCTCAGGAAGAGTTTTTTGTGTTGTTCCTTTTATAAGTTTAGGAATGAACAGAGGCTAACCACACTGACGGATCAGTTGTACATAGAGCCCAAATTGACAGGCTTCTTTGTTTTGGACTCAGTGCTTTTTAGATGGAAACAAAGCAAACACAAAGTGAGCTGGTCTTTAGAATCAAAGTGCACTAATTGTGCTCCACTGCAATGTAGAGCCTGTGAACTTAAGTCAGAGGTGGCTCTGTGGCCATTTGTGGCAAAGCAATTTACAAAGGCTTTTAAGTACCTACTGTGTGTATAGTTCATTAGTCTGAGTGCTGTCAGTAAGAAGGGAAGGATGGGGCTATGGTGGTGGTATTGTTATGTGCCATCAAGTTGGCCCTGACTCACAGCAACCCTGACTCATAGTGACCCCTCCTTGGGTTTCCGAGGCAGCATCATTACGGAAGTAGATTGCCCCATCTTCCTTCAGAGGAGTGGCTGGTGGGTTTGAACCACCAGCCTTCGGGTTAGCAGTCAAGTGCCTTAGGCACTATACTACCAGAGCTCCTGGGGCTATGGTAGGGAGATTAAAATTAATGCCCCCCAAAAGAAACCAAAAAAAACCCCTCACAAAACCCAGTTACAAATAAATCAAAACTTGAAAAGGCTAAGAGAGAGGGCGAATGTAGATTTGCTGTTATGTTGGTCTTATGTGTTCGTTAAAGTGGGTTGGCTAAGGATCGCAAACACCTAACGACTTAGTCAGATATTTTTGGGTAGACATGAAAGCAAGATTGTTCCCCTCAGATAGGACTTGTTCATAGGGGACTCACTCTGGTACCTTGCAGGGGGATAAGGCGCCAGGGTTAATTTAGATTCAATTCAGAGTTCTTTACGTGACTGTAAAATGACGCAAATAAGTAACCTTCAAAAGCATTTTCAGAGCTAGAAGTGAGAACTTACCCTGATCATCAAGAAGTTAATGCTCCTTTCTTTCTTTCCAATGTTTATTTGGCTTAGGTTTTCTTCTGTGGATTAAAAGGTTCTAGAGGAAAAGAAAATTCTAGTAAAATGTCAGGAATGTGTTCGGAGAACCTGCGTGTACTTTCTTTTGCTGGTGTGTTTTGTGATGGTTATGTCCTTTCTCTTTGTAATACAGTCTATGCATGGAACATTGAAAAGTATTGAAGGGCCTCCAAACTTGGGTATAAACTTGCCTTTGAGCATTAAACCTGCCACCCAGAACTCAGCAAATCAAAACAAAGAAGACACCAAATCCATGAATGGAAAAGAGAAGTTGGAAAAGAAATCTCCATCTCCTGTGAAAAAATCAATGGAGCCCAAGAAAGTGGCCAGTCCTGGGTGGACATGTTGGGAGTGTGACCGGCTGTTCACGCAGAGAGATGTTTACATATCCCACGTGAGGAAGGAGCACGGGAAGGTAAGAGGATCATGGCAGCTGCCCTGCGTGAGTGTGAGGAAGGGTGCTGAGCTGGCACGCTTACAGGATGTGGGTTCTTGGCTTGGTGCCGTCAGCAGTTAGTTGTGTGACCACAAAAATCACCCACTCAGTGTCTCTGAGCCTCTGCTCCTTCATCTGCAGAATGAGAGGGTTGGATGTGGCATTTCCCAGTGCTTCCAACCTTGATCTTTGATTTTGCTAATGATTGCCTTTATTCGTACACCCCACGGCTAACAGTGAATTATCCATCCTGTTCATGTTTACAGTTGAGACCGAGAACAGTAGAAAACCAAAATTTAAGACATTTAAGTTTACCTCTTAGCCCAACAAGGAGCTATGGTGGTGTACTAGTTAAGACATTTGGCTGCTAACCGGAAGGGCAGTGGTTCAAACCCTCCAGCTGCTCCCTGGGAGGAAGATGAGGCAGTCTACTTCTGTAAAGCTTTACAGCCTTGGAAACCCAATGGGGGTCACTATGAGTTGGAATCGACTCAGTGGCGGTGGGTTTGGGTTAGTTTTCTTAGCCTGATAGCAAGTAACGAAAGGAGGAGAGAAAGAAAGCGGGTGTTTTGAAAGCTGCTGGTAGTATTCATATGACTTACGCAGTTCTTAAGGAGCTCTGGTGGCGCTGTGCCTAAGGCATTTGACTGCTAACCAGAAGGTTGACTGGGCAATCTACTGTAAAGATTTACAGCCTCAGAAACGCAGTGGGGGTTGGTATGAGTCGGAATCGACTCGATGGCAGTGAGCTTGGGTGTCTTTTGGATGCATTTCTTCCTTCAGTTTGGCAGTGGAGGGATGGACCTCCTCATACTGAGGATGAGGGAATATGAACTCCATCCCCTGTCCCCTAGCAGAAGAAGAGAGCTCAGCCTGAACTCACTAAAGACCCGGATTGTGACATGTATCTTCTTTCTCTTTCTTAAAACTTCCTTGTGTGGACATTTTTAAACATACACACGTAGAAAAAATGTAACCACGAACCCCACATCGAACTTCAGCAGTTACCAACACCACACCAGTCCCGTTTCGTTTCTTTTCTCAAGGCTGGCTTGGCTGTAGTATTTTCAAGACAAATCCCACACATGCAGTTTTCCACTCATAAGTACAAAGTACACATCTCTAACTGGTAAGGATTTTTTTTTTCCCCAGTACCCACTATCTTACCCACTAATTAACACAGTTTCTCATATCATCTAATACCCAGACTGTGTTCATATCTTCTGATTGTCTCAAGGTTGGCTTATTCTAGTCAGGATCTAAACAGAGTCCACACACGTTGTAGTTGGTTGTGGTGTAACTTCCATCTCTTATTTTATAGCAGGCCTCTCTTCCTGTTGTTTTTTAAAGTGCTCTTGATTTGGTGGGAAAATTGGGTTCCTGATTCTGTACACTGTCCCCACATTTCCAGATTTGGATAATTGTGTCCTTTTGATATTGTTAGCTGTTCCTCTTAATCTCCTAATTCCTAGAATTTTGATTCAGGTTAATTTTTTTTTGGATAAAAACATGTCACAGGTGGTGCTATGTTCTTTTGTGTCATGTCATGAGTGAGGTGTATGCAGGCGTACCTCATTTTACTGCAGCTGCTTTATTGTGTTTAGCAGATACTGCGTTTTTTATGCGTGGAAGGTTTGTGGCAGCCCTGCACCCAGGAAGTGTTGGCATGTGGCATGTGCTCACTTGCTGTCTCTGTCACATTTTGGTAGTTCTCTCAGTATTTCAGACTTTCTCATAATGCTACTGCACACTTAATATTGACTACAGTATAGTATAAACATAGGCACTGGGCAGCCAGAACTTTTGTGCGACTGGCTTTATTGTTATCATCGCTTTATCTCCGTGGGCTGGAACAGAACCTGCAGTATTTCTGGGGTCTGCATGTAATACTAGCTTGTTCACTTTTAGTGAAACTGAGATGCGTTAGTGGGTTCAGATACATTGTGTTTTAAAGAAACCCTTATTTGGTTTAACTTAAGCAATAGAACTCTGAATAGTTATCCTTAGGGAGTTGTGTGAAGAGCACATGGGGATTGGTTTATAATTAGCATATACTGGATTCTTGAGAGGAGTCTTGGTGGCACAGTGGTTAAAGTACTCAGCTGCAAACCAACAGATTAGCAGTTCCAACCCACCAGCCACTGTGGCAGTCTGCTTCTATAAAGATTTACAGCCTTGGAAATTCTATAGAGCAGTTCTACTCTGTCCTGGGGGGTCATTATGAGTCGGAATTGACTCAGTGGCCGTGTTTTTTTGTTTTTTCCCCCAGTTTGGATCCTTGAAAAGTTTATTCACTTGTTTTAAACCTTACTCTGTAATCTTTATTTATTCTATTTGAGCTACTCTTGAAACTAATATGTTTTACCTTGCTACCATCCAAATGTATGTAAACTCACCTTTGAGCTAATCACAGCAATGACAGATGACAGAGAGATGCTTTTACTGTATTTGGTCTAACTACATTTAATTCAGTGTCCCTGTTAGTTACTTGTAGAACACAATGGCTTTAGCAGCCCATAGCTTACTCAATCATCACTCTCACGGGCTTGCTTGATAGGCCACAGCACTGTGTAATGTTCTTTGTTAATATTGAGCAGTTCTTAAGGGGTCACACTTTATAAACTTACTGTACAAACACAGTACTTGTAGTTCTTTCAGGACTTGATGTGATTCTAGGAAAAGGCTGTTTCACTTGGCACACACACTGGATTTCATAAATGTTAACACAGGAGCAGCCTTACTAATTACCTGGTAATCCACTTGCACTTCTTGTACATTTGAGGCATTTTTAACCATCTTTACCATTTGGGAATGTTTTTCTTTCTTTCATTCTTTTCCTTTCCTTTTTTTTTTCAGTCTTCGTTGATTATTACTGGATGTAGAATGTAAGATGAGGAGACTGCATCAAGAAATACTTGAGGGATGAAATAGTTATGGAAACGGTTTGCTTTAACATTGTAGCGCAGAGACCACGCAAACTGGACTTTGTGTGTGTGCGCACGTGTATGTTAGATGGAGACATTCATTCATCGTAGAGGAAATGTGTGATTTAGTAGGATTTTAGGATTAATTTTGAAGAACTTGAGACCTTGCCTTTGGATTAGATTACAGTTCCACTCATGTTCACTCCTGACAGAGAACTAAGGAAAACTGGGGGAGGGAAGGAAAAACTGTCTTCATAAGCTAGTGAAATGAAAGGAATGTTGAACTCGAGTGAGAAAACCATGCTTGAGTTCCAGTGCTTATTCAGGCCAGAACACACTCCACGTCAGACCTGCCCTCTTACAAACTTACTGGCCTCAGTTCCCATTCTTTCCTTCTTCCTAACAGAGTGGACCGAAGTCCCTTCCACTTAAACCCAAACTCTAGGTCTCTCAGACTCTGTCTTCTCTCTCCTCCTTCAGACGGCTGGCTGAGCACCTGGCTCTCCCCACTTCTTCACATCTGTTTTCTTCTCCACCTGTTGCCGTAGGACTTGGGCTACACCCGTTTCTCAGTCCTCACCTTGCTTGTCCTCACTGCGGTATTTGACACTATCGGAGGTTGTTTCCCACCGTTGAGTGTTACACTCTCTCCTGGGTTTCCTCATGATTGCCAGGGCACCCAGCAGATTTCTGCCTAGAAACATTGGACTTTCTGGGAAACGTCAGGACTTGCATGGCTTCCCTTATCATACATATGATGTGCAGATAACTTTGACTTCTGTGTCCCCAGCTATGGTTTCTTTCTTGAATTCCAGTCCCTACAATCCATCCACTTATTAAATGTTTCAGTTCTTGAATAGCCCACAGAAGCCTTACTCTGGGTCTGCCAGACATGGAGTTTAGGCTTCCCTAACTGGCCGTCAGCAACTGCCACCCTCCACCCCATGTTTCTGCAGCCCAAAGCTTGGTGTCAAGCTCGACTTGAGGATCTCTGGTCCCACCTTATCTCCTCCCCCATCCATCCATTTAATACACTTAAGTCCATCCAGGTATGTTTTTCATATCACTGCTTTCATTCAGGGGAGTCCTGGAGGCACAGTGATTAAGTACTCAGCTGGTAATGAAAGGTTGATGGTTCAAACCTACCAGCTGCTCTGTAGGTGAAAAAACCTGGCAATCTGCTCCACTAAAGATGACACTTGGGAAACCCTATGGGGCAGTTCTGCTGTGCCCTGTAGGGTCGCTAGGAGTCGGAGTTGAGGCATTGGCACCCAATAGTAGCAGTGTTCATCCAGGCAACAGTGAGGTCTTGCCTGGATTGCTGTTCTCGTTGTGAGAGATTTTTCTGAAGTGCAGACCTGATTATGTCACTCTCTTGCACAAGGTATTACATTCCCATTGCCCTCAAAATAGTCCAGTCTTCATAGCATGGCCTAATGGTGGATCTGCTGTCAGCCACTCTTCCATAGTCATCTCTCTAAATGCACCGCCAAACATACACACCCCACCAGTATGATGGCTCTAGACAAGCTAAACTGCTTCAAGTGTCTTAACACGTTATGCTCATTTGCCTCTGAGGCTTTCCACATACCGTTCTGTTATTGTGAATGACCACACCTTCTTGGTGGACAGTTCTCTCAGTCTGTCAGGACTCATCTTTGACACCTCATCAGGGAAGCCTCTCTGAGACTGAAACAGTCCTCTTCCCGATGTTTCCATGGCACTGTTGGACTTTTCTTATCGTAACATCAACCACTGTATTGTTGTTAGTTGTTGTCGAGTTGACTCTGACCCATGGCAACCCCCTGTTTACCGTGGAAGGAACTGTTGCCCCGTCCTGCATTAGCTCACGGTTGTTGGTGGGTTTGAGTTTCTTTTTGCCACCATGGTATGTTTTGAGTGCCTTCAGCCTTGGCAGCTCATCTTTCAGTATTTGAACAAGTACAGACAACTTTTGCTTTTTATTTTACTATGAGATCACATAATCACAAACTGTTTGGTCTCTGGCCTCTGATATTATCTCATACAGGGTATCCTAATGTGAGGATCCTAGAA